ATCTTTTAATTTTTTTTAAGTAATATAAATATATATAAATTGTCCTTAAATTTGTAATTTAAAAAATTAAAAAATAATTATTATTTTAAAATGAAAGTAGTAGTCATAATAAAAATCAAATTTAGACAACTAATTTTAAACGTCAAAATAAATGCTTTTTTTGATCTTGGATTTTTTTTTCTTTTGTTTCTTCTTTTTTTTTTGGGCCATCGTTTTTAATTTCTTTTGTTATTATCCAACTTCAAACGTGACACACATGCTGGAAGTATATTTTAAAAAAAAGGATAAGAAAAAGAATCATTAAGAAAAAAATGCTGCATGGAAGGCAGAAAAAACTCCTCTTATCCACAAGTGATATCAGATATAGTGCAAGGAAAATGAAATGTTACCAAATTGCATAAACCCCCCTCTCCTTTGTGAGAATCACGTAATCAACCATTCTATTATTAAAGTTAAAATAGCTGATGCAATTGGAAAAAAAAAAAAAAGAAGAAGAAGAAGAAGAGGCAATTAATCCACATTCAGCAAAGCTTAGATGGGGGGAATTTTTAAAATTTATAGTTAATGGCTTCTTTTATTTCCTTTTTCACTAAGTATTTGGTGCATGCATGCAATCCACCTTGTCATTTCTAATCTAATCCATTAGAAGGATTGACAACCAATAGCAGCGTACCACGTGTAAAAAATTAGGTAAATTAAACAATTAGTGATTACGTTTTGCAAAGAAAGTTGCATTTTTATGGGCTTTAATGGCTTTGTTTTTTTTAAAACAAAAAAAAATCAATTTAAAGAATTTTGATTTCTTTGTTGTTAAGAGTTAGAAAGTTTTACCAACAATTTGCTGATTTAAGTAGAAAAAATTTAATTTTTCTTAAATAAATAAGATTTTAAATTTAAATTTTGTAAATAAAAAGATTGACAATAAGAGAATTTCCTCTTATAGAATTTAATATAATTTTGATTTTAAATTAATTAAAATTTAATATAATTTTCAGACACGAAAAAGTTTAATTATAAAAAAAAAAAAAAAAAGTTGAAAAGCTCTGTTTTTCCACTTGATTGTGTGCACCTACAAAATAAGAGGCGGCAAAAGCAAATTTGCTATGATACAGCTCCTGACAAAAAAACTTCTTTTTTTTGTGAAGTGGTGGGTTAGGGTATATTGTCTCAATGTGCTTGGTGATGTGGTGGATTATGATCATTGTGTTTTCTCTAGCAAATGGACATTTCATCAGAGATCTTTGGAGATTTAATTTTGTGGGATGGCAAAAGTATGGCATGATTTGAAATACTCTTTCTTTTTCCTCCACTTTTCATTCAAAAATCTTGATGGATTGTTGCTTGTTCATGAAGATTTGATTCTATGCTTCAAGGGTTTATTGAGGTTTTGGAAAGTGAGATTTAAATTTTTATATCCTACAAAATTTCTTATAATGTGCTTGGTTGGTGAATAAAAAAAGAAAAATCAAAGTTAATTCCTCTTAATTAATTTCAAACATATTGAAAATAAGAGGAATTAAAAAATAGAAAAGAACTTTCCATAAAAAAAAAGGGGGAAGCAAAGAAAGGAATTCATAATTTTTCAAACCTGGTCAACAAAAGCCATGTTTTAAAAAATTGCCTTTTTTATTTAAAAAAATGATTTTCTCACACAAGGATAATATAAAGGCCATTACTAATGGACACATACTTCAATTATCATGGTTGGTCAATTCAAATATCATTCCATAGTGCAAAGAAAAAAAAAAAACAAACGAACAAACAAAAAACAAAAATTAGGTAATATGTAACTTATTAGGTAATATGAATTATATAAGAAAGAAGACCATAATAAATAATTCAATTGTAATATCTTTTTATTAAAAGTAAAAAATCTTAAATTTGAATCGCATGACATGCGGATGAGGTGGGATAAAAGATAGGAAAAAGTTATCTCTCATTATGCAATCAATATAAAAACAAAAAAATAACAATTCATACAAACGTGTTTGAACCTCTATGAATATTCATGTCCAATCAAGATGCCTTAACAAAGTAAGAAATCAATAAAATTACTACGTTAGCGTATTAGATATATAGGATATGTATTCTTATGATGTAATAGATTTTTTTCTATATAAATTTGTTAGAAAATTTGAGAAGTTTTTTATTTTATAGTTTATATTATATTATATTATATTGTAAAATATTAATTTTTGATTCGTAGAAAGAACTCCAATATCAAAAAACTTATTTTTATTAAATGATTAAAATTATATAATTTAAAACAATTTAAATTACTTAACACTTTTTCAATTTGAGAATTGTGTACATTATTCAGTTTATCTAATTAAAGGGGCAAAGTGATGTAAGGTTTATATATGAGCTGGTATTCAAATCGGGACCACTGGGAGGACGGAGCAATGAACAAATGACAAATTATAAGAATATTAAAGAGAATCATAAAGGATGATGCTTAAACTTCTTCTTGGAGCATTATTATTATTATTACGAAAAAAAATATGTTTTTTAAGTTATGTTGTGCATTAAAAGTGTAATTTAATTTATAAATTTATTAAAATATTTTAAATAAAATTTCCTCTATATTATTTTATTAGATAATAGTTTAGTAATTTTATCAAAATTACACTTTTAAAGTTTTTT